TAATAGCTCCTTGATAAGGGCAGAAACCTGGTCAGTGCTTTCCTGTGACCTAAGTTCATTCAACAGGAAAGTTAGGGGCATTGTATAATTTGATTAAACTTGCCAATGGGCTGAGAGTGGCAGGTGGAGCTTAATTTAGATAAATGTGAGGGACTACATTTTGGAAAGGCATATCAGGGCAGGACTTATACACTAATTTTAAGGCCCTGGGGAGTGATACTGAACAAAGAGACTTTGGAGTGCAGGTTCATAGTTCCTTGAAAGTGGAGTCATAGGTTGATAGGATAGTGAAGAAGGCATTTGGTATGCTTGCCTTTATTGGTCAGTGCATTGAGTATAGGAATTGGGAGGCCATGTTGTGGCTGTACAGGTCATTGGTTAGGCCACTTTTGGAGTATTGCATGCAATTCTGGTCTCTCTCCTAAAGGAATGATGTTGTGAAACTTGAAAGGGTTCAGAAAAGAGTTACAAGGATGTTGCCAGGGTTAGAGGGTTTGAACTTAAAGGAGAGCCTGAATAGGCTGGGGCTATTTTCTCTGGAGTATCGGAGGCTGAGGAATGACCTTATAGAGGTTTATAAAATTGTGAGGGGCACGGAAAGGATAAATAGGCAAGGTCTTTTCCCTGGGGTGGAGGAGTCCAAAACTAGAGGGCATAGGTTTAAGGTGAGAGGGGAAAGATATAAAAGGGACCTAAGGGGCAATTTTTCACACAGAAGGTGGTGTGTGTATGGAATGAGCTGCCAGAGGAAGTGGTGGAGGCTGGCACAATTACAACGTTTAAAAGGCTTCCAGTTGGGTACATGAATAGGAAGGGTTTAGAGGGATATGGGCCAAATGCTGGCAAATAGGACTAGATTTATTTAGGATATCTGGTCGGCCTGGACCAGTTGGACCGACGGTTCTGTTCCCGTGCTGTATATATCTCAATGACTCTATGACTTTTTGTTTTTGTGAATTGGGACTTGAGTATCAGTGTGCTTTCTGAAATACATCTCTTCACAGCTATTGCAGCTAGCCTGGTAAACAGTTGCAAGAAACATCTAACAATCATCCACTTCCTTTTCACTGGCTCCCTTAATCTTGGTTGTTATTCATGAGGTGTCAAGCTCTCACACTCTGTAGAAAGCAATGTTTGAGCATAATTCCACTGTAAAACAGAACTCCAAATGTAAAGAAAAACTAAAATTAGCTTTGTGGTGTCATGTTCTAACCTCATACTTCCAAAAGGGAGAGTCAAGTTGGACTCAACAGGCACAATACTCCAATGGCATCTACATAAGCTGTGATTAGACCTTTTATTGGATAATCAAAAGGCCAATGCTTATAAATATAGAGCATCAAGAGAAAATGGTTAAAACAAAATACAGGGTGAATCTGCAACAAAATTTCATGAGTATAAATCAAAGCCATAATTCAGAGGAGCAGCAATTTTGAATGAATCTGAAATGGTGAATATGGGTACAGTTAGAACTTCTAAAAAACATTTGGGATAAGTTCATGAATAAGAAATGTTTGGACAGATATGGGCCAAGTTCAGGTAGATGGGACTAGGTGTAGTTTAGGATTATGGTCAGTGTGGACTGGTGAACAAAAGGTCTATTTCCGTGCTGTATGACTCTATGTGGTTATATTTTGGAAACTAATTTTTGACATGCAGGAAGATTACAAAGATTGTTTGGAAGATGTTGAAGTTAATGTCAGATACATGAGCATCTGTGAAGACTCAAAAATAGGTCCAAGTCTCAGTGTAAACCTTTCAAAATGGGATAATTCATTGTAAGCAAGTAGAGAATCAAGACTAAACAGAAGAAAGTCGGCAAATCATAATAATCAGGAATGTTAACTCCTAACAGAGAAGAGATAATGGATTGAATTCTAATTTCTAGTTCCTTAATGAAGAACTATACTGAAACATCATTTGTTTTATACCTGCAGATGTTGATGGGCCTGCTGTATAGTTGCAGCATTTGCTTTGTTTCAAATTTCCAACGCAAGAACATTTTATGGTAAATTTATATATAGTACAAAAATTAGGAAGTGACAGAGGAAGTATGCTCAAAATACATACAGCAAAATCACAATGAGTCAAACTCGGATAAGCTGAAATTCTGGTACTAGCAAAGTTGTCAGCAAGTTCCACCGACAGAATATGAAATCTAATAGCAGGATACCGGTGTAAAACCAAAGTTACAGATTGGTAACTCTAGATGAGCTGAACTTGGTTGGCATGGTCATACAGTAACAATGCACAATCTGAGTGGAGTTAGGCTATGCTAGAGTACAGAATCATGGGCAGCTCTACAGTATTGACTGCAAAATGGATTTGCCGATGAGCATGCATCTTTTTCACAGATATGAAACTGAACTGTCTATTATTATATCACTCCTTAATAGTTAGTTCTGGAATGTGTACTGATAGAAAGTGAGGCAAGGAATGTGTCACTGCTACATTCTGCATCTGGTGTGTGGTTTCCTCTGGAAGGGAGTTTTGCCTGATGTGGTAAGAGGTACAAAGAAATAGGCATGGACAAATAGGTATTGACAAATTCAGCAGATATATATATTACAACCAATTATTATGTACATGTATTGCATTCTGGAGGCACATAGGTGGGCTAACATTAACCAATTAGGTTATGCAGTGCAATGGGCTTCTAGTAGAATGTCATGTTTCATCTGGGTACAGTGACCATGAGACATAACACACGAACACTATCTCATGGATGGCACCAAATGGCTGCTGCTGCTCGCAATAGGAATATCCAAGAAACCCATTGCTTTGTGAATGTCAAGATATTAGTCTCATATTGCAAGGATATCAAAACCACTTGGATGACCTCCAGTATTTTTGAAATGTTAGTTTTAAATCAGAGATGGATAAAAGTTTTGTTAAGCAAAGGTATTAAGGGATATGGACCAAAGACAGGTATATGGAGATTGGCCATGGGTCAGCTAGGATCTCATTGAATTGTAGAACAAGCTTGAGGAGCTAAACAGCCTCCTATTCTTATGCAAGGCAGATAACAGGGTGCCCAACATTCAGCTCCTCATCCCCGTTGAGGAGGATCCGACTCTGACTGTCCCAAGTAGTTGACTGACCACATCCAAATTTAAAAGGCATCTGGATGGGTGCATGCATAGGAAGGATTTAGAGAGAAATGGGCCAAATGCTGGCAAATGGGACTGGATTAATTAAGGGTATCAGGTAGCCATGGATGAGTTGGACCAAAGGGTCTGTTTATGTGTTGTACAACTCGAAGCCCCTGATTGGTGGGACCTCAGCTGACTGTGCTGGAACCTTTTAACCGATACACATCTCCACTGACAATTATTCCCCTTAGCTTTTGAGACAGGGCTATTTGGTTGAAGCACATTCAGTGTGTTTGCTGCACAAGCTGCTGATAATTCCTGATAACAGGCCCCTCACTTCTCACCAGGAAGACTCTTGTCTCAACATCTAGACTGCTGAGGGGGTAGACATGCTCGCTGAGCCAGTGGGTTTGGTTGCAAACGTTTCATCACCCTGTTAGGTAACATCATCAATGCACTTCTAGTGAAGCATCGGTGTTCTGTCCCACTTGTTATTTATATGCCTTAGTTTGTTGGGGTGCTTGGTACCACAATTCAGACATGACAACTAGACTACTTAGACCCCTGGGTATCAGGGTAGCCCACAACCCAACAACCACCCTGCAACAGCTACTGATGAACGTAAAGGATCCCATTCCCAAAACCGGTGTAATATACAAAATACCATGCAAAGGACTGTGAGAAACACTATTTAGGCCAAACCAGAAGGAAACTGACAATATACGAACACCAACGAGCCACCAAGAGACACGACCAATTCTCACTTGTCTCACCACACACAGACAACGAGGGACATGAATTTGACTGGGACAACACATGCATAATCGCACAAGCCAAACAGAGACACGCCAGGAATTCCTTGAGGCTTGCTATTCTAACTGGAACTCCAACAACAAACACATTGAATTAGACCCTGTGTACAAACCACTGAGAAACAGAACTGGAAGTGGTACCAAACACCCCAACAAACTGAGGCATATAAATAACAAGCAGGACAGAACACCAATGCTTCACCAATGCGCCTTTATAGCTCAAGTGATGGGAAACCTCCTTATTTTGTAGCTGTACAAATTGAAGAGACAGACGTGCAGATAAATAACTTGCCCTGCTTAACATGAGCACCGCCCCTATTTATTCCATACAGCACAGGAACAGGCCCTTTGGCCCACCAAGTCTGTGCCAAACCCTAAATAAGGAGTTGGAATCAGTGCAGGCTAGGTGGGCTGAAAGGCCTGTTCCTGTGTCATATTGTATAAATAGGGGCAGTGTTCATGTTGAGCAGTGCAAGTTATTTATGTGCACGTCTTCCTTTTTAATATGATACATTTCGACAACTGCACAGTATGGATTGTTTTTGTGTTGTACAGAATTTATATCACTTTAGTCTTTGCTAATAGGCAAAGTATGAAGAGTTAAAACAAATGCGACTATTTAACCACTACAATTTCTACTTTAATCTCCATATGCTGCTTTAGAAAGGATAAAACCATGTCCTTATTTTGCTGACAAGAATGATGTGCTCACATTTGTTTTGCATTGGAATTATTAATTGTGGTCGCTGAGGTCTTTAAAAACTTTGCTTCAGTCTGCTGTAGAATCCACCACCCCGGAAGCTTGTTTATTTTGTGTTCCTGCAATGCACATTTTCAGTTCCTACTGATTCCGCAGATTACTTTTGGTTCAGTGGGAACATTGAATCATTTCAAAAGTGGTTAGATTTAAGATGCACTTCAATGGAGAACAAATACAAAAGGCAAGCAGGTCAATGTTAAAGCAGCTCCAATGAGATTCCATTAATTAATTTGTACTGGGATTGTTTGTTTGTGATGTTAAAAATATTGAGATGAATCGAAGATTAGCATTAAACTGCAAAAGGTTCTTTGTTAAGGAAGGAATAGGCTGACCAAGCACTGATCAATGACATTTATTTCAATGTTTTTTTACTTAAGATTTTCAATTACTGTACAAGATACAATAAAAGCAAAACAATGAGCGTAATTAAACCCATACATGGTCTTCAAGTCTGAAAGAAGGAAATCAAGTATCCAATGTACCCTTTCAATGCCCATAGCTGAAGGAATCTGACCACAAGTGATGAGCTAGGGCATTGTGTTCCCAGTGAAAATTAGATTAAATCCCAGTACATTGTGTAAGGGAACAAACCTGCAGACTGCAATTGATAACAGACCAAATGAAAGCAGGAAAATACTTAAAAACAAATGGCTTGATATGCAATGCAGAAAATCTCTGCTGTAGACAATCACCAATGCTAACCCCAGTGCAACGATTTTCCCTTTGAACAAAGCGCATAAAGATAATTGATCTGGTCTGATTTTCCATGGCAATCATAAATTAGGAGGTCAGTTCAGTTCAGTTGGCTGGATGTCTGGTTCGTGATGCAAAGTGATGCCAATAATGTGGGTTCAATTCCCGCACTGGCTGAGATTACCCATGATGGGCTCAGCTTCTCAATCTCTCCCCTCATCTGACGCATGCTGACCCACATGTTAAACCAACACCAGTCATTTCTCTATAATGAGAATGCAGCCCTTTGGGACTATGGCAACTTTACCTTTATACAAAGTGGAGCTGATGATATTATTTTGGTTTGGAAGGTTAGCAAGTGATGGTTAGAAATTAAAAAAAGAATGTTGCTATGATAGATAGGGAAAGGAAATAAAATTCCTGCTTTTGATCATTTTAAAACTGGCAACTAAAATTAACATGAGCAATTGTATTTATCCTTTAATCCTCCAAGTCCTCAAGAAAATATCACCTGTTGCAGCAGACAATTGAACAATGCTGTGCTCTGACAAGCTATCTTTTAAGGCTCCTGAAACCTATCTAACCTAGCAGAGGGATTACATGTGCATCTATGAGACAATGCCTGGAGCAATGCATTGGACAGCAAGCAGCAGATAATTTAGCTGACTCCTGGCCAGCAGAAACCAGCCAGCAAACTCTCTAATAGTGCAGATACATTGATATGTTGAAATGGCTTTTTCTTTCCAAGATGAAAACTGGTGGCTGAACTATGAAGAACCAAGTATAATGTTCTGCTGCCAGTTAAATCCAGGTTCGCATAGCACTCTGCCAGTGTATAAACCAGGCTTCTTGAGAAGCATATGCTACAAAATGGGCCACAGTTCACTTCCCAGACAGAGAAATGAAGTAAAATCCTAACATTACGACCCAAGAGCACACTGAAGATCCCCTTGGTTAGAACAAAAATGTATCCTCACCTCAATGATGAACTCAAAAAACATTCACACTAACTGACCCCTTTGATGTTAGCTGGACAGACTATAAAAGAATTACTACACAATTCACATATTTGGGCCTGCATGTAGGCTCATTCATTTGTGGCAACCCAAATAAGAAAACTAACTTATTACCACAATTTTGAGTAGCTGGATACACACTGCCAATGGAGATTTTATGACCTCAGAATGGGCCACACAACAGATTATTTATCCCAGTCCAATATTTAGGTCAAGAAGCTCGATTTCACTTGTCTTTACAAGAAGTGTAATGTCCAACAGTGCCTTAGAACATAGCAACTCTGGAAATCCTGTCTCACCTACACTTGAGGGGAATTACAGACAAAAACAAACAACTTTCCTTTGTACCCATTATCCCACAGCATAACTTTAAAGCTCCAGTGCTCAGAAATGTTGCACAAGTACCATGCACACGTAGGATGCAGCAAGAGGGAAAATTTATTATGTGATAGACAGACGTCACATCATCTGTTTTGAACATTCGAAGGAAAAAATCCCACAAAGTAGAAAGTGCTATTAAATGTTTGGCACTAACTTTAAATGAGAAGCAGCCAAAGTAGAATAAAAATCCACACTTAAGTGCAATGGAATTTTCATCTTGGGCATATGCAATTTTTACAGGAGAGGTTTCAAACTGTACAGCACGTACTGCAACATGCTTTTGAAATGCAGCAAAAGTGGAATGGCTATCATCAGATTCTCTACAGTGTGGAAGCAGACCGTTCGGCCCATCAAGTCTGCACCAACCCTCTGAAGAGCATCCCACCCAGACCCCAAACCCCTATCCTATCCCTGTATTTCCCATTGCTAACCCACTTAGCCTGCACATCCCTGGGTACTATGGACAATTTAGCATGGCCAAACTACCTAACCTGCATATCTTTGCGCTGCAGGAAGAAACTGGAGCAAACCCATGCAGACATCTGGGGGAGGTGGGGAGAGAAATGTACAAACCCCACATAGACAGTTGCTCATGGTTGATATCTTGGAGTACAACAAATACCGAAAAGCAGTGAGGCAACTGTTTGAAATGCAATTGCTAAAATCAAAAATTTTAATGGGATCCCCAAAATGTCAAAACTTGTGTTCTAGAGTATACCTGACAGTGCTCAAATACATTATAAATAAGAGATTAAAAAAAACAAAGTTGCTGGAAAAGCTCAGCAGGTCCGGCAGTGTCCGTGAAGAAAAGAATCAGAGTTAACATTTTGGGTCTGGTGACCCTTCCTCAGAACTGAACCCGAAACGTTAACTCCGATTTTCTTCTTCACAGATGCTGCCAGACCTGCTGAGCTTTTCCGGCAACTTCTGCTTTTGTTCCTGATTTACAGCATCCGCAGTTCCTTCGGTTTTTATAAATAAGAGAGATATCTTGGGGCTTTTAGAATTGATATCATGTTGCATTATCAAACCAAGAGCAAACAAGTTGTGCCTCAGTTACATTTGTATAGAAAGCTAAAAGTTGTCAATAAAGCTAAAGATACATAGTTTTCTACAGAAAGATGTTGAGAAAATAAAGCTTTTGATTAAGTAAATGAAAAAAATGTTGTAAATATCCTTTAAATCCACAGGCCCTTGACTCAGAAATGAATAAGCCCGTTATTAAATAGAACTACAAAGGTCAAATCTGCTGGTAACCTCAGCACTAAAGAGCAGGTACAATTGTTAATGTGCAAAATACTGTCTCAGGGTTTCTTTGGATGCTTAACAGGTTAAGCCAGGGCAACTGAACAATACAAAGAAGGAAAATCCCATGTCTGATCCTTAGATTTTACCAAGGTAGAGGTGCCACAACTGTCCTTAGAGATCTGGGTCAAAAGGGGAAAGTTGAAGACTATCCAGCTGAAATATAGATGCGTGGAAGTCAGATGACACTGAATGAGCCTTGGGATCAAACGGGGCTGATTATTTTACCATGAACAGGGATGGGGCAAGATGCTGCAAAGGGCATTTGAAACCCATGAAATTGTAGGTCAACGAGGTGTTAATGACTTGAGGGGAAGAAGCATTGCATGAAACATAAATGAAATGCACTATCACCTCCAGAAATACAGAGTGCCACTTCACACTGCATCTTGATGGCACATACAGATGGCTGCTTCTTTTGGTGCAAGCTGGTCTTTATAATTTTATGTGAACTCCCAACAGAACAAAATTCACTAGACCCAAATTCACCAACAACCACAATATATATTGCTGAACTTTCAACTGTCAAGCGCATAATCCTGGTGACTGCCTTTCTGAACACAGGCCTCAGTCCACGTAAACTTAGGTAAACAGGGATTCACTGAATTGCATTGGCAGAGCGCCATAGTTGTTGCCAGCATTCACGAACACACCCATCTCGTTCGGTAACCTGCTGCTGAGGATTTTGTTGTGCTCTTGCAAATGCAAGGTCATTTCCTCCCGTGACAGACTCGAGAATGGACACTGCATGCAACTATATCGGCCCCTGGTATGTTCCCACACAATTCGGCTGTTTGCAGATTGAGCTGAAACAAGAAAATAATGGCAGTGAACAATACACTTGGTCAGAATTTACCAACAAGTGCAGGTTACAAACAAACCTGAAAAACAAAAGAAATCAATTTCACTGTTAAAGCCTGGTGAAGAGTTAATAAATATACAGCTCCTTTAATCGCAATGAATCAAAACTTTAAAAAAAGTATTGGATATTATGAATCATAATTAACTATGTTTTTATTTTGCTGATGTGAAAAAAAAATGGTGCGAGATGCATATCAGTTGAATTCTTCAAGAGAGTTAGGACAGCTCTGACAAGTGGAGAGAAAAGAAGAAGAAAATGAGAGAATTATGAAGATAGAATGAGTAATTTGAAAACAGCACAAATATTCTAAACTAGCATATAATTAGAAAGCAGGTAGCAAGAGGCTGGGTAGAGCCTACTAGAGACAAGTGAGGTAATAATATGTTGGAGGCATAAAGCCAGGCTAGAATACTCAATGAGTAAGTCATATCAGTGTTTATCAAGGAAGAGGATGCTGACAACATCTCAGGAGAAGCAGACAGGGTAAAGCTAACGGGCAGAATGTACTGGAAATGTTGGCCATGCTTTGGGTGGATAACTCACCCTAATAACTTAATAATTGTAGAGTAAAATTTAAATTTTACTGATGCCAAACATTGAAGATGATGCTTATTGACTGCAACATTGATAATGTCAGCAAGATGAGTAAACAGCTGGCATGGGGAACTTAACAGAGAACCAAGAGGCAGAGTGTAATAGAATTAATGGTATAGTTCCAAACAGGGAGCAGGAACGAAGGAATTTGGGGTTCATGCACATTGAACTTTTGAGTGATATTGAAAGAGTAGTTAGCAAAATAAATGGGATCCTGATATTTACAAACAGAAAGGAGTACAATAGCAAGAAAATTATGCTAAATCTTAAGAAACTCCAGTTTGGCCAGGCTGGGGCCACTGAGCCACATCACATGATGCTCGACAAGAGTCAACCACCATGAAGCAAACCCCATCATCTAAGGTGATAGACTTGAAGGGGACAAAATCTTGGAGATGGATGGGGGGTGCTAATAGGACCGACTGGGTTGCTTTACAGAGAGCTAGTCGAGACTCAATGGGCTGAATAACCTCCTTTCATGCTGTTATACCTCTAAAGTGAAATATAGAACAAAGAATGCAGATCTCATTTCAAGTTGACTGTTTTCTCACTACAAGTGAATAGTTCATATCAGCACAATCAATGGACTGTAATGGTAGGAAAATATGAAGGAGACCAGAAAAAAAAACACCAAAAGCCATCATAAAGGAATCTTTATACCTAACATTATTATTTCAATTTAACTGTTTTTTTTCACCCCATAAGCAATGGTTTCATAATTTTGTAACATGGAACTCCCAAGATGATTTCATTAAAATAGAATTATGAAGCAAAAGGCATTTTCTTTTCAACTTTCTCTACAAAACGACAATTCGCAAATTGCTGTTTCCACCAGGAATTTAGCATTCAAAATGAAAATTATGATTTCCTTTGGAAAGTCAAAAATAATCGAAAGATTAAAATACACCTCACCTGCACTCTTTCTCCAGACCGCACTGGAGAATGGTAGACTTTCAGAGGGAATGTAAGACCGAAGGCGTGTCTGTGTAGGACTTTGGGACAGACTGTAAGGTGCAGGGTGCACAAATGGAATGAAGGGCCCAGGCACTGGATTGTGTGCTTGGCTAGGAAACCTACTCAGGCTGGGTGTGGCAAACAGAGATGGCTCCAACAGTGAAAATGAATGTGGGGTTGCAGAGACCAATGGCATTGAGCTTAGTGGTGTGTGAAGAGTTGGTAGGGGATTTGGGAGTGGTGTGAGTGACCTTGAATTAGATGCCTTGCTGATGGTATCCATGTTTGCTACACTGCTATCCTTTTCAAGCTGCTTAATAACACTTTGAAATTTCACTGGCTCCACTTGGACTGGCTGTTTAATCAGAGCGTCTGATTCACCGACCGGCAAAGGGCTGGGACACTGCTTCTCTACCTTTTGAGGAAGAGCATTTGTTGCAGTGTTAAAACATATGTGCATATGTTTGAGTAGAGATCGATGGGTTCGAAAACGTAGTTTACATGCTTCACATCTGTAAAACAAATTATTCCAAAAATTAGTCTTTGCTTCTTGGGTTTCAGAGCTTTTAAGCCCGACAGTATTGAAATAAACCTGTAAAAACTTTGATGAAGGAGCCACGGCTCATTCTTGGCTCAGGATCAGAAAGTTGAGCTTGGGTGCCCATCCCAGAAGCATAAGCACACAGATTTGGCATATTCAACACTGAGGGACTGCTGTTCTGTCAGAAGTCTTTTGAATTAAAATTGAAGCCCTGATTATATGCGCTGGTGGGTGTTAAAGATCCCATGGCACTATTTTGAAAAGGGAGTTCCCCAGTGTCTTGACCAAGATTTATCACCCATTTAACAATACTTCCAGTTATTTCCTATGTTGCTCGCTGTGTTACTGTGCAACTGCATCTCCATTTACAACAACAAGCTACATTTCAAAATTAATACTTTGAAACATTGAGGTTATGACTGAGCTAAGCACAATGCCTAGCGGGTGATAACTGTTTTCAGATTTTTGCCACAGCAATAAACCAGAAGGAAACATGTTGAAATTAGCCGAGGCTGATTTGTGCCAACAAAGAAAAGTAGCATGTGGCATTGCATCATTCATCGGAAGTCAAGGTTCTTTGTGCGCAGCCTGAACTACTTAGAGACCACCTGGGTTATACAGACATTACATAAGTATTCCTTGGGGGCAATGCAACAAAATGATAGCGAGGCAAATTGAAAAGAATCACAAATGTTTGCTCAGTGACTTTATGGTGGATCAGTAAGGCATTTGGACTCCAGAGTCTATGCTGAGGTGCTGATCTCAACCAAGATAACAGCAGATAAGTCGCACCTAACCTCAGACTAAGTCATTCCCTCTTCCCTTTTACAATCGGCATTTTAGCAAACCAAAACTTCTATTTCAAAAATTAGTCCTGGGATATGGGCATTTTTAGCTAGGCCAGCTTTCACCACCCATTCCTAAATCGTCCCGGAGAAGGTGGTGATGGGCTGCCTTCTTGAACCGCTGCAGTCCCTTGGGAGATGAGGACATGCATGGTGCTATTAACAAGGGAATTCTAGAATTTTGCCCCTGTGACAGTGAGGGAACAACAAGCTATTTCCAAGTCGAAATGGTGTGCAACAAAAGGCAACTTGCGGGAGATGGTGTTCCTGTGCATCTGCTGCCCTTGTCCTTTTAGTGGTAGACAGCTTTTCAGAGGCATAAAAGAGTTATTAAAAGACAACTGATCCATGTCTCAAAGTTTGGCAGAAATAAAGTGTAAAATTGTAATAAAGTAGTCGTCTGGTGCTTCAGTACAGAAATTATCTTTTTGGCAGGGGGGTGGGTGGCAGAGGGTGGTGGTGCTAACCTTGGGAAGAAAAAGACAAAAAGAAACACATTTATATAGTGTTTTACATATAGTTTCTCAAATTGCTTTACAGCCAAAGTATTTTTTATAAAGTGTAGTCACTATTGTAATGTTGGAAACACAGCAACCAGGATGCTGATTATAGGAGTATGCTGTGTACGATAACGACTAGCTAATTTTTTGCAATGTTGATGAAGGGATAAATATTGACTAGGTCAAAGTATTAGCCAGTAATTACACAATGCACCCTTGCTTACAGGAGACACATCCATGCTAACAACTCACCCAATGTATGGAGTGAATGGATGGAAAATCCAATAGAAGGTAGTAAGTACTGAAGCTGCCTCAAATCACCCCCTGTTGGCTGCTGGGAAACTGACAAATTGGGGCAAGTTCTGCAATAGTTGTTAACAGCGCAGGACCTGGTAAGAGGTTTGGGCAGCTCAGTCAGTCAGCAGTTTGTACAGTTATTAACTATGGGAGGTAGTTCCAAAGCATAGCCTTCAGAATACCTCACTGATGGGAGCTTTTAGCCAGTTTCACCTCTGATTGCCTTCCATAAAGATCAACAGGATGAATCGTTGACTCAAGTCCTTAGGAAGATTAACTATGAGTGAAACCAGTCTAAGTTTTCAAATTGGCAAGTACAGGGAAAGCACTTGGTGAAATAAAATAACTGGTGTGCTCATTAAAATTTAAATAATGTCTCTAACTGATGCTTAGTTCAATTGTGTTAGTTCAATTTATTGGTGGAGACTGTATTGCACTTTCATGATCCTAACAGGTTGATATTGAAAAGGAATGGTGGGACTTCAATCTGCAAGTTAAGTCTCCCTCATCTATAATGAAGTTGGACCCCAATGTCAAGGCATCTGATAGCAGCCAACATGTGGTTTCATATGTTTTGAAATTAATTCAATCTGCCCTAATGATCAACTTACTTGAAGTATCGATTAGGTTTGTGATGCACTTTCATATGATTCATTAGATGATGCATACTGGAGAAAGACTGTTTGCAGTCATTGGTACAACATTTATACACTTTCCCTGAAAGGAAAACAGAATGAGATGCAAAGTTGCAAATGTAGTTACGTTATTATCATCTTGACAAGTTAATTAGAGCAAACCCCAACGGCTTATTCATAGTGGCCATCAAATCTAGGGTCAGTAATAGTGAATACCAACTCATCTGGTCTAGAAATTAACTGATGTGAAACTGATCTGGAATAGAATTTCCAAGCATGAATTGAATTATGAAAAATATTTTAAAAAAGGAATTTCTCTTACCCAACTCCAAACTGGGCTCTGCCTGTAGAAAATATAGTAACATAATAGTGATTGAAAAAAAATGTTTCCTAACACCACCTCTGTTTAATTAGCTATCAATTAGGGATTGTTACTGGGATTCCAATTGTTCAGGATATTTATTAAATGATCATTTTGGCAAGGCCAATTATAAGTAAACAGTTGTATAGTTAACATTGCTTATCCACAAAATTACATAGAAACAACAGGAACAGACCATTTCAGCCCAATCAATCAATCTGTGTTGATCTTTATCCTCTACACAAGCAGTCATCCTAATTCAATGTGGTCAGTTTGTTCCAAAATACCGTGTCCCCTTCCCTCAGCCAGCTATCTCACCTATGTCAGATACGCTTGGCTTCAGTCACAAATTTGGGAAGTGCATTTCACAGACTCTCAGGCCTGTGCAGAAAAAAAAACACAGCTTTTCCTATTCCCCATTATAAATTAATGCATGTAATCTACAATCTATCCCTCAATTGCTGGAGTCATTCAGCTTCTGCTCCCTTCCATCACGTTTGTAAATATCTCAAGCAAATCACCCCACAATCTTCTCTGCTCAAATAATAATGATAACAGCCTAATATTTCAAATCCTTTCATATTTGCCTTGGCTCAAATAGTAGCCATTAAAAAAATTATGGGATGTAGGTATCGCTAGCAGCACCAGTATTTATTGCCAATTCCTTGTTGCCCTTGAGAAGGTGGTGGTGAACTGCCATTTTGAACCATTGTAGTTCATTTGGTGTAGGTAACCTCACAAAGCTGTGAAAGAAGGTGTTTCAATATTTTTGACCCAGCAAGGAATGGCAACCTATCTGCAAAGTCAGGTTGATGAATGGCTTGGAGAGGACACTTCAGGTGGTGTTCCCATGTATCTGCTTCCCTCGTCCTTGCTGGCAGGTATTGCTGTCTAAAGGAGTCCTTAGTAAATTTCTGCAGTGCACCTTGTCGATAGAACACAGTCTCGTTACTGAGCATCAATGACATCACATTCACTCCCCTCATGAATCAAAGGGGCTGCTTTGTCCTGGATGGTGTTAAGATTTTGGAGTGTTATTGGAACTGCATATATCCAGGCAAGTAGGGAGTACTTTATCACACTCCTGACCTCAGTCTTGTAGAAAGTGGACAGGCTTTGGGGACGTTGGTGTACAAGTCCCTAAATCCTTGAGGGAGTCACAGGTGGATAGGTGGGTGGAGGTGGTGCACAAGATGCTTGCCTTCATTAGCCAAGGCATACAATATAGCAGCAAGGAAGTCTTGTTACAACTTTATAATCCTTGGAGCCGAGAAGGGGGGCGGCGGGGGTGGGGGGAAATGATTGACGTATGCAACATTATGAAAGGCATTGACAGAGTAGTTGAGTGAATCTTTTCCTTGTGCCCTTTGATCTTGGATATATCTGCGACATGTTTAAGGTGAGGAATAAGTGGTTTAGGAGATCAGAGGAAAAATCTTTTTTCCAGAATCTGGAAGAAACATGGAACGTGCTGCATGAGAGGGTGGCAAAGGTACGTACTCTTGAAGCACCGAAGTAGCATCTAAATGAGCATTTAAAATGCCAGGGTACGGTCGACTCTGGACCAAGTGCAGGGACATGGGATTAGTATAGTTTGGTGTTTGTTGCATGGCATAGACATGGTGAGCTGAAGAGTCTTTTTCTAAACCATATGAAAAAATGCAGAAGGGGAGTCATTCACTGCAGGATTCCTAACCTCTGCCCTGCTTCTGTAGCTACGGTATGGATATGTCTTGTCCTGTTAAGTTTCTATTCCATGGTAATTCCCAGGACCTTGATAGTGAGAGGATTGTAATGTCATTGAATGTCATGGAGTGATGGTTTGATTCTCTAAGGTGATGTGAAAGTTACTTGCCACTTGTCAGCTCAAGCCTGGATCTTTTCCAGATCTTGTTGCACTTGGCTGCAGTATCTGAGGAACTGCTAATGGTGCTGAACATAGTGCAATCTTCAACAAACATCCCCACTTCTGACCTTATGATGGAGGGAAAGTAATGAAGCAGCTGATGAAAATAGTTGGGCCTAGGATAATGGCCCAAGAAAATCCTGCAGGGATGTCCTGGAGCCGAGATGACTGACCTTAAAGAACCGCAATCATCTTCCTACATGCCAGGTAGGACTACAACCTGCAGAGAATTTTCCACCGATTCCTATTGAATCTAGTTTTGCTCAGGCTCCTTGATGCCACACTTAATCAAAGGCAGCATTGATGTTAAGGACAGTTACATTCACCTCACATCTGGATTTCAGCTCTTTTGTCCATGTTTAACCAAGGCTGCAATGGGCCCAGGAACTGGCAGAACGCAAACAGAATGCCAGTAAGCAGGTTATCGCTGGGCAAGTGCTGTTTGACAGCACTGTTGATGACATCTTCCATCATTTTCTTTTGACTCAAATACCAGGTCGTGAACTCAAAACCCACTCAAGAGTCATGAGCACATGATCCAGGCTGGTATGTCAGTTTCGTACTCTGAAGTGCTCGACTGCCTGAGATGTCAACTTCATCGGAGATGCAAATCTAAAACTGTGGCTCAGTGGTTAGCACTGCTGCCTCAGAGCACCAGCGACCTGGGTTCGATTCCAGCCTCAGGCGACTGTCAGTGTGGAGTTTGCATGTTCTCCCTGTGTCTGGGTGGGGTTCCTCCAGGTGCTCCGGTTTCCGCGCACAGTCCAAAGATGTGCAAGTTAGGTTGATTGGCCATGCTAAATTACCCATAGTGATCAGAGATGTGTAGGTTAGGTGCATTAGCCATGGGAAATACAGGGATAGGGCAGGGGGATGGATCTGGGTGGGATGCTCGAGGGTTGGTGTGGACTTGTTGGGCTGAACAGCCTGTTTCTGCACCATGGGGATTCTACATGTATAAAACCCTGCTTCATCTTTCAAATGAAAACGTTCCATTGTGTTACTTAAAATAAGAGCAGGGAGTTCTCCAAATATCCCAGACAACATCAACTAACCAATATCTGTCATACAATACCTGGCAAATATTCCGTTGCTCTATGCAAGTAAATTGTCATATGCTACCACAATGACGACACTAAATGTAGTTCATTGACTGTGAAGCATTTTGTGATTGCAAATGGTCATGAAAGGTGCTATACAAACACGAACCCTGTATTTCCTTCCTTAACTCAGCAATTTAGATTTAACAAAGCATCTGGACTTCTCTGAACTAAAACTAAAGAGTTAGAGGTGTTAACAACACTAATACTACCAAACTTTTAACTCAATTGCTAAACTCCCTTCGTGTACCCAGTCTTGTGTGCTATAGTAATCTGACAGTCTGCTCCAAGTGCTGATCTTTCTTGAGGAAGCCATTATTTCACGCTCGTAGTTACTGCCAAGTTCCCACTTCAGCAGGGTATCTAGCTGCAAACTCTAGACCCACACGTCATTCTCTTCCTGATCTCTCAGATTGTTCTGAACTCCCACCCCATTGTTGGGATCTTCAACTCAATTCATCACAATCGGGGGCACTTCCTGCAGAGAGGCTTGTCAAAGTCAACATCTGCTCATGGAAATTCCCACATCCTGCAGGAACCACGCATTAGTGTTCCTTCCTGTGTTGTCATTTTTACTAATTTGTCTATGTGGTGAAGGATGCAAGTTTTAAATCTCAACTAAACTGCTTCTTCCTCCACTGCTACCCCTCCAAGCGAATACTTCAATAAACATTTCTTCCAGAAGTACTGCTTTGACCACGCATAGCTATTGGGTAAAAAAAATAGTATAAATACTGTGAAGTGGACTTTTTTTTTGAGATACTTAACGCCAATGCAAAAGAAGCCCCATTGCTAAGTTTAAAAGGAAAACAAAATAGAACCGGGGCAGGAAACCTCTGGAAGAATTTATTGCAGAGGGTGGTTGACAGATTTTTAATAATTAAAGAATCAAGGGTCATAGGGATAAGACAGGTAAATAGAGTTTAAGATTATCAGATGAATGGGAAGCAGATTCAACGGCCTGAATGGCCCATTTTTGCTCCTACATCTTTTGTTCTTTATGGTAAATCTGACATCACATCAAAAGATGTGGAAATACTCTGAAGGTATGCAGATAGAAAGAGGGCTGAATTTCCCTGTCTCGGAATGACATGGAGTATGGAAAAATCAGTTGGGAAAATATGGCGAGAGATTGGAAAAAACAATTAGATTCACGCTGTCAGGTTCGAAGGTTTCAATAGCAAGATAAGAATCTCACTTGTGTGCGGAGACAGGTCCGTTTTCAAGCATTAACATCTTGTGGATTACCTAGTGACACCTCATTTATATGCAGTTTACTGTTCTTCCACAAGGCAGAGAGAAAGTAGATGGTGATAATTCCTGACAGAAAATGTTAAGAACATTCTGGTTGGTTCCAGGTCACCCCTTACTCCTCTGGGTTTCCATCTTGGCCAGCAATCCCCAACATGTGGCATACTCCATGGGCAGTGACTACCTGTACCACAAGAGGTTGGCATTGAGAACGCACCTGCTTCGTCACATCAATATGGCACATCTGACTCACAGAGTACAGTTCTCCACTTCGATACTGCACTCTGTCGCACACCAACACCTTGCACTGTAAAACTGTTACCAATGCTCAGAGACAAACGTCTGACACATGGATTGGAGCACAGTGCATCACTAGGCTCTTAATTCACTCTTAGCATTCACTCACTGTGCACCTACTTGGAAAGTCACAGCAAGACTACTCCAGCTTTTTGTGCACTACAGCC